TACACTTTCGACATCTTCCTTTTCGATGTTTTCCTCTTCGACATTTTCCTTTTTCTATTTTCTTTCGCCATTTTTCTCTTTCGACATTTTCCTTTTCGACATTTTCCACCAAGACCATTCAGTTGATGATTAACATCTTTTGGTCAACTCTCTTCAACTCTATTTCGATTGATAAGATAATTCCTTCAAAAACGTAGACCATTTTACTACAATTTCTAGTTTAAACAGAATACAAAGTCGCAAATGTAAATTTATCCTTTCTTTACACATACATTTGCGCGTTTCAAGACTTAATTAACGACCAACACTAGATTTCGTCGGGTCCGGACTCAAACCGTACTTGTGATACTCACTGACGTTTTTAAATCTGCAACTGATAGTCATCCGAAACACATCCTACGTATTGCTTCAGCGATCGTAATAATGATGTTATAAGAATCAATTTATTATTGACATTTTCTTTCAGAGTAAATTTCATTGAAGCGGACGTGGACCTGGATTTTGGTGACGGTGAACGAAATATTTCCAGATCCGGGCTCGGCAGACTCCAACGAGCACATATCAGGTAATCACTCACCTTCATTTCTGATCTTTAATAATTGAAATAGTATAAATTTTTCATCTAATATTAATTATTTATTACACATATGAGCATTTTCCTGTACTATTAAATGATCTTGGTGGAAAACACCGAAAAGGAAAACGTCGAAAGCGAGGAAAATGTCGAAAAAAAGGAAAGTGGAAAATATCGAAAAAAACATTTTTGTCGAGGAAAATATCGAAAGGAAAATGTCGAAAAGGAAAATATCGAAAGCTAAATATCAATTGTATTGATTAATCATTATGATTGATGTTGCTTTAATTATACTACAACGAAAATTTCCATACTATAGCATAACGTTTTATTGTTTTTTCTTTCCAATTAATAAGGATAGACTTGATAAAAGTTCATTAGCGTTTATCTGTTGTTGAATGAATCTTTCTTTTACAGTTTCAAATCTTTTTTGAAAGGAAATGGTTTTTTTTGATTGTTTTGGTGGAGATGCACCAGCTTCTAGTTGAATTAAAATGTGTTCAAAGCGAACATGTTCACTTTGAATCAACTGTATAAAACACCATATATTCGGGTGCTTCTTGGATAATCGACTGGAGAATCTAAGATTATACGCTATCATAAAGAATAATATAGTTTAGAACTTTAGGATACATTCATGAAACATATTAATCTACCCTCCGATATGTTATTAGTACGATGAATAACGTCGAAAAAATTCCACATTGAAATCGGAACAACGCCATGTACCCATTGATTTTTAAAGTATAATAATAAATCACTTAATGCTGCACATGTAATTGTTTCCAGACGTTGAAACTGACTACGCACTTGCTCTATCGGCATAAGACTTAAAGCCATGATTTGTCGACATTGATTACGCATGGCTTCATTATGTAGATAATCACTTGCTAAACCTAGATCAGTGATTTTTCGGTGAACTGCTCGGTTAAAATGAAACATGCAGCCAGAGTGAATAGCAAATGGAAACTACAAATAAAATATAAACAAGACGAATATGTATTATTAACATAACAATAGTTACTTCTTGTTGTATAACTGGTAACAAACCAGGTTCAAAATCTGTAATGATACGTTTTGGATCAAATTTGGTTTTCAATAAAATAGCTTGTTCCTTTAGTCGTTCAAATAATTCCAGGTATGTTCTACCACGTTTATTTGGCAAGAGACAAAATGCAACGGGCAGTCCTTTAACAAAATTGAATCATTTCGAAAATTCAAAATATCATCTGTTTTTAAGATATACCTTGACCAAATTTTTCGGCATGTATCAAGTAAACTTGTTTAAAAGGAGCAGGTGCAATATCAAAGGTTCCGTCCATAAAAATTGTACTACTTTCGTATAGTAGTTTTAATTGTTGATCACTCGCAAAAAATTAAAATACGATCTTGACCTCGTTTAAGGAAAATATCTATCAATAAAAAACGTTTTTCTGTTAATGTTGATTGATATAAATCAGGAATTTCAAACATAAAAGT